TCGAAATTGTCGAAATTTATTTTAAACATCGTCACGCTACTTTTTTGTCTTTTTTTCTTTAAGTCTAAGGTAATACAATCCTTACGTCTTACGTGCAGCGAATACGTATACGGAAGCGATTTTATCTGTGGCGTGGATCGATTTTAAAATGCAATGTTAATGTAGTATATATATTGCGATAGTTTTTCGTCACTCAGATGGACGTAAAGAGACGAACAATTGACGTCATAGAAACGTCACGTCACGTTACGCATAATTTTTTTAAAAATAATTTTAAAATTTTTGATTAGAAGTGTTTTTTTTTTTTGAAAATCTTAGATTTTCCGAACACGGGAAGCTTTCCATATTTCCCTCGGGTATTTTGAGAACAGCTCTTGGCTCTAATTGAACGTAGTCGCTATTTCTATATCGCGTCGCAACGAAATCAGAATTAAGCTTTCCGCTAGATAAGACTCTGAAATAAAATTTTTATTACTTTTTTAATCTCCTTTATTGACGTTTCAATTCCGCCGGTTGAGTTTAGTGTTCTTTCCATTTAACAATTTTCTTTTATACAGGGTGTTCGGAAATTTGGAGGAAAGACTCAGAGTGGTAACGCAACGAAATAAGCTGGTATTTTACACACAGTCCTGATCAAAATAAAAGTGTTTCAGGAATCTGTCACTAGAGGGCACTTTACCTAGAAGTTTTTTTATTTTCGCTGTATTTTATTTATTTAGACTAATATTGCAAAATAGAACACATCGTCTTAAGCAGAATCACAAATTTTCAAAAATTGTTACTCTTGTTTTAAGTCGATAAGTGTTATCGTTCAGCCACAAATCGATTTTTTAATCACGGCTCGAGTTTTACATGTAAATGTGATTTTACCTGATAGGACTTAATGAAATTTGAAAAAGTCATTGTCTAAAAATTAGTTTCTATTAAAAGAGCTTATTATCCAACTGTGATGTGCCATCAGGAATATTCAAATACCGACTATCGCGATATGCGTTTTGCTAAGGAAGGGGAAATGGAAATGTAAATTAAACACGACGGGTTTATATCGAGGCTTATCCCAATAGAAACGTTCAAAATACACAGAAAACGAAAGAGAAGAAGAAGAAAAAGAAAGAACAACTTCCAGCGGCGGAAAATAACTGCTGTAAAGCTATTTACTATTGAGTAAAATCACGTCAAGTGGACCCCCCATTTACCACTTGATCATCAAAATTTAATCTATATATATTTTTTACAAGTACTTATGATCCCAGAAAACGATTTTTTAAAATTTTGATTTTAACATTTTTTTTTGTAATGAAAATTTTAAGCACTTTCAATTAAAAAATGGATTAAAAATGAACCGTAAGATATAAATTTATGAAATTTTAAGCGCCTATAGTCAAATGTCTATACTTTAAGAATATATTAATGACTTCAAATTATTTGTTTATTTTCGTATTATTAACTAACTTTTAAGTTAACAAATGAAAATTTAACTGATTTCTTGGTAAAAAACATCATGTTTTTTTGGTCGGTCACACGCCTTATCCATTTAAGTTTAAGATAATACAAATTATTATTATAAAACAAATTTTATTATTATTTATGTTATTATTATTATTATAATTATTATTAATAAAATTTTATTTTTTTTAACAATGTTATAAAGTTAAATTTACTAGTCAAAATTCCATCTTTAGTTAACAAAAGAAAAACCGCTCTGTTACGACTTTTATTTGTTTTTTGCGTATTCTAGTAAATAACAAAATCATTTTAGAAGACGTAATATTTATACGCAAAGCACGAAATAATTTAAAATTTAATTAACAATACGAAAATAAACAAATATTTTTAAATCGTTAATATATTCTTAAAGTATATATCTTTTACGGTTGATTTTTAATCCATTTTTTAATTAAAAGTGCCTAAAATTTTCATTATAAAAAAAAAGTTGTTAGAATCAAAATTTTAAAAAATGGTTTGAGGGATCAATTTTACATAATGAGTACTTATAAAAAAATACGTATAGACTTGACGTGATCTTACTCAATTATTAACGAATAGCTACTAACAAACAGTAATTTAAACACAAACTAAGATTAATGGGACATAATAATGATGCAACAATAGGCTTAATTGTTAATTATTAAAATTTGTCATCAAATAAAAATTCAAATCATGGGCATGTTAATTCAGGCGAGTAGTCCCGCTATCTGCAGAGGAACGGTTTTGTAATAATGACTTAAGCTGATGTGTAAAGTTATGTTGATCGTATCGGCTACAATAAAATAGAATAGAATTTTATTGACTATGTTTGCACAATTTTACATTATAGCAGGTCAAACAACACAAATAGAGAGAGAGTAAGAAAATAATGTAATGTTAATTCTGTTACATTTAGAGCTAATTGTTTATTGACTTGTTTTATACTAGTTTTTAAATTTCTTGGTTACATTTTTCAAGTTTTTTAAAGAATTTGGGAGGCGAAACTTTCTGCAATCACTAGACTTGCGACGAAAGAATGAGCACTCTGCCTATACGAGGTGCTTGTCGAACATTTTTTCCACTTAGATGTTTCCAGTGCGATATCTAGTACATCAAAGTTATATTTACACTTTTATTTCGCATTTTCAATAAAGATTAAACTAATTTTATAAAAATAAACTGTTTGTGTCGATTTACGGGCACAAATTCGGGAAAAATTAGCTGCTACCTTGTCTGTAGCGCATAAAGAACCAACACGCTAAAATACGTACAGAATTATACTAAGGACGCCGATCCGTCTGCTGTAATTCAGCATAATATTAACTCTGCACTTGTCGCTAATTTTTTTAATAACACTTTCAACACCTTAATTCCTTTTTGCCTGATAATTTAATGGGATTTCGACATATTTTGAGAAAATACCGGCGTAAAAATACAGCATCCAAACATTGACCTTGCAGCGGTCATGTTGGTTGTTAGGAGGCGCAAGGCCTTATGGGTCGAACGTCACGCGCATGCGCATGTTCAACAGACCTCAAAATTTTGTGACAGTCGTTTCACGAGTTCCCGTATTATTATTACATGTCTAGTAGCTATATCGCTACGGCAGTAAAAAAAGAAATCGTTAATTACGGTATTACGCTACTTTACTAAAACTAGGCCGAAAGGGCGGACGATAACCATCGGCCTAGTGTGAATTACTGATTGATTTTAAACACGAAGGTCCCCTTTTACAAGAGTGACGGCGTGTTTCCGAACAACGATGCGGCCTGACGTTCCTCACTTCTATAGGTGATTAATTCAGGTTTTTTATGGAAATGTCATTGTCTGCGAAAACGCGGCCGTTGAACGACGAATAGATTTTCCACCTCGCGTACGGTAAACAATGAATTTTCTGTTCCACTCGAAAAGCTAATTAACATTAATTGCGAACTCCTTTTTTTGCGATAACTTGCCACGAAATCGTTAAATTATGCTGCGTTTCTTAATGCGAGTGAGTTGGAAATCGTTATTGAATTGTAAGACTTAAGTGGTCTCCGTCGTTTTCCATACACGTAGCATTGTACAGGGTGGGCAGTTTATTAGAGGCCTGTACCGTGCGTTCAATTTAACTTGATAGCATTTTAATTGGGTGTAACTTTATTGTTTGTAGAGATATTTAAGTATATTACAGTAGAACAAAAACTCTTTACTATATACTGCAAAAAAAAAACATTTCTCATATACTCTAATTTATATTAACGTGTCCGGATTGTCTCTTAACTGCTTAACTCCAACGTCCTCAAACTTAGAGAAACTGAAGTTTTTAACATCCCTCCACAAAGTTAAGATAAGTTCCTGAGGGTGACCACGGACACCATATCTGCTAAGCTTCTCCAGCAGGTCATTAGAGACGCAGTCGAAAGCTTTAGTGAGGTCACATAGCGTAAGTGCAGCTTGCTCCCCCTTTTCCAGGCCCTCCACCACGTCTCCCTGCGAACCGCCTGCACAGTGGAGGAGCCGGTCTTAATACCAAATTGGGAATCACAAATGCATTTCGTTTTTTGAAAAAATCGTGATAGTTGATTTTTGAAAAGTGTCTGGAAGACCTTACCAAGCACGGGAACTATTGATATGGGTCGGAAATCATTTGGAGAGCTGGTGTTACCTTTTTTAAATATTGGAACCACCCTTAAATTGCGCAGGAAAACTTTCACTATCAAATTAAATAAAAATGTGAGGGGGGTTACAATCTGGTTGATAATCTCCTTGAAAATAATACTATTAATGTCATAATAGTCATAAGAACTAGATTTTTGCAATGCAATTACACAGTCTAAAACATCGTCTTCTGCTATTCAGTGTAAGAAGAAAGATGAAGTTACATTTGAGATATTTTTCAGGCATTCACTCTGTACTTCAGCGTTGACAGTTAAAGAGACCAGAATACCAGCAGCAACATTGGTAAAAAACTCATTAAATTCATTGGGTAACAATTTCTTTCATAATTTATAATTGTCCATGTATCTCTGGCTTTATTATTAGACCAACTAATATAGCTATCTTCTTTTTTTGATTTTACGGTTATTTTTTTGTATTCGCTGTGAAAAGATTTATAAATAAGTTTATGTTCCGGCTTCTTAGTTTTATCGGCAATGGTTTTTATCGGTGTTAACTTATTTCTCATTTGTTTTATGTCATTAAACCAATCCACTAACTAACCTTCTGCTCTTATTTTTTTTAACCGAAGTTTGTTTATTAAGAGGGAGACCATTTCTTCAACATCATTTGACAGGTGGAAATGTCATTTGAACATTTCTACCTGTCAACCATAATGGTCGGATAAACAGGGGTCAATAATACTTGTCTTATATAAAGTGTAATCAATATTAGTCAGGATATTGTGGATGCAGGTCGCTGTTGTTGCAGCGACCCTTGTATCCTGATCTATTGTAACCTTAAACCCAAAACTATCTAAAATACACAGGGAATCCGTTAAATTGTTCACCCTTTATGCGTGAAATTTGAACCCCAAAGTTCTTGGTAGGACTTACCCGACTGTAACGTCGAAAATATTGCTGCCGACGGACGATGAGACAGCCATGTCGCCGAAACCTTTCCTTGCCACGATCACAGACGTGATTAGGTCGGGGATGGATGTGCCTGCGGCTAGGAAAGTGAGTCCCATGACCTCCGGCGGAATGCCCACCGTATCTCCAGCCCTGTTCGCCCACCATACCATCAAATACGAGTAGGCCGCTATCCAAAGTATACTCCCAAGAAACGTTACGGGGAAGAACTTTTTACCTAGAACGTTTTTTCCGTGTTAAATGCTCACATAGTTGCACTGTCTCTCACGAAACCAAAAAAAAAAGTAACGTAAGTGGGTCGGTGTAGCCGTTCTTAGAAGACGGAAAAATTTCACTCCGCAGGGATATCGAAAAATTGCAAAGAATTCTCTAGCAACGACAAATTAGTAAACTTGAAATTCTAAACAACATTTCTACCGATAAACATGGGATGTTCAATGAGTGCTTAGAAAATCCACAAACAAAAACAAAACAAACGCTTGTGGATATTTATTTTTAGCAAATAATTATTTTTAAAAACTAAATACAAAATTGTAGGATTTCCACCAACAAACATGGGATGTTCAATGAGTGATTAGAAAATCCATAAACTGTACAAAAGATTTTGGATTTTTATTTATGGCAAATAATTATTTATTTAAAGCAAATAAAAAATTGTACGATTTTCACCAACACCAGATGTTCAATGAATGATTAGAAAATTAAAAAAAAACAAAAATAAAACAAACGATTTTGGATTTTTATTTATGCCAAATAATTATTTATATAAAGTAAATAAAAAATTATAGAATTTTCACCAATAAACATAGGAAATTCAATAAGTGATTAGAAAATCCACAAACATCAAAAACAAAAGTAAAACAAACGATTTTGAATTTTTATTTATGCCAAATAATTATTTATATAAAGTAAATAAAAAATTGTAGGATTTCCACCAATAAACATGGGATATTCAATGAGTGATTAGGAAATCCACAAACAAAAACAAAACAAAGGATTTTGGATTTTTATTTATGGCAAATAATTATTTACATAAAGTAAATAAAAAATTATAGCATTTCCGCCAATAAACATGGGATGTTCAATGAGTGATTAGGAAATTCACAAACAAAAACAAAGGATTTTGGATTTTCATTTATGTCAAACAATAAGTGCGTAGGAAATCCACAAACAATTATATTTTTAAAGTAAATAAAAAATAATAAGATTTGCTTAGTTCATTATATCAAGCAATCGCTTTTTTTAATATAAATTCATCTATTTAAAGCAAACATTTAACGGCGATTATGGACAATGTCAGTCTAATAGTACTGAAATTGGGTTAAGGTTTTATCTGGAGCTGCATCTATGTCAGGCCGGGAAGTTTTGGCGCTAACCTCGTATCTAGGGTGGACTGGCAGTTTTTGTTTGACGGTGTTGGTTCAACTGAAGAGAAATTTGAGCCAAAAAAGGGTGGATTTCCGTTGAAATTAGGGAACAGGGTGAGTTACTTAGAGACTTGCACAAATACTTTAAATTATAAAAAAGTACCATGAAAAACAACTTAAGAATGTTAAAAAACCTTTTAACAATAAACTTACAACCTCTGTTAACAAATGTCAAACGGCGTGGAAGTTATAAAAAATGAAAGTAACCTCTCTAAACACAAAAAGTTTCCAGATTACTTCATTGATGATGAAGGTAGCGAGTATGTTGATTTTTACTGAAAAATTTAACGACTTTTTTTTGTTATAGAAATAATAAATAATATAAAAATTCTTCAATCCGAAGTCTATTCTTAACACCTTTCACGGGTATTGACATTAATGGAACGTGTTACAGATTTTATAGTTGAACTTGTTTGATTAATCTGTCTTTTTTAGAAGATGTATTTCCCTCAGCGTTAAAGCACTCCGTTGTTGTGCCTATACAGAAGATGAACAATACTCATTTCATTTCTAATTACCGTGGAATATCACTTCTATCGGGTTTTTCCAAAATGTTCGAAAAGTGTTTTTACGTGCGGCTCGATGCATTTCTAAAGAATGAGCAATCTTTCTCGAATTCTCAGACTGTTTAGTTTCCTTATATAATCAAATAGTCTCAAACCTGGATCGGAATAATAAAATATTATGAATGTTCTTTGACTTCATGCGAGCTTTTGATTTGTTGTTGAATAAGTTAAATAATTCCGGTATACGGGAGAATAGTTACGCCTGGATTGAGTCGTTTTTGAAGAGTTCTGCTTAGAAGGGATATTTTTGTGATTAGATCCTCATCTAAAGGACTCAATAGCGGAATCCCATAGGGAAGCATACTGCGACCTTTATTATTTGTAATATTTATTAATGATATATCTGATTCTTTCCCAGTTTCCTTATATGCAAACGATATTGCTGTGGTAATGTCATCTAGGAGTCTGGAAAATCTCACGTTCTTGGCCACTAGGGCAATAAGTGATATGACCCGATATTGTGAGCGTAACGGTATTTGTTTGAATGGGACAAAGACGGAGATGATGTTGTCGCTTAGGGATTTGAACAGGAGCTTATTGGTTAGAATGCAGGATAAATCGATTAATCAGACTAACGTTGTCAAGTAATGGATGTTTTTTTTTCGATGTATAGAACTTTAAGTTGGCATTACTGTTCAAGATGGCGACCGACTTAACAGCTGTCAAATGATTTATTCTTTTTTGGTTTGGCAATTCATAATGAATTCATCAAGTAAGGCGTAGATTGGTCGAATGGGCCCAAAACGAGATTGCCGTTGTTCCCGATTTTAATAAGCGAATTTTGTTTAGCGATGAGGCGCACTTCTGGTTGAATGGCTACGTCAACAAACAAAACTGCTTCATTTGGAGCGAAGCTAATCCTCAAGTTTATGTCGAAACACCGTTACATCCAGAAAAACTGACGTGTGCTTTATGGGCTGGTGGAATCATTGGTCCGTACTTCTTCAAAAACGATGATGGCCAGAACGTTACAGTCACTGGTGATCGGTATAGAGCTATGATTACTAACTCTTTAATTCCTGAATTGAATAACCATGATGTCCAGGAGATGTGGTTTCAAAAAGACGGCGCAACATGTCACACAGCTCGTGCCACAATCGATTTATTGAAAGACACGTTTGGTGACCGCCTAATTTCACGTTTTGGACCTGTGAATTGGCCTCCAAGATCTTGTGATTTAACACCGCTAGACTACTTTCTGTGAGGCTATGTAAAGTCATTGGTCTATGCGGATAAGCCACAAATGCTTGACCATATGCCGATATACGGACACAAATGTTGGAAAAAGTAATCGAAAATTGGACGTCCAGATTGGACTACATCCGCGCCAGCCGCGGCGGTCATATGCCAGAAATCATATTTAAAATGTAATGCCACAAGATTATCTTTCGGATAACTAAAATTCAAGTCAATCGAATAATCAATCGTTGTTTTATTGCAACTTAAAGTTCTATGCATAAAAAAAACACCCTATATTCGAACAAAGTTGGGAAAGTCTCGTGGTCACTCTTGTAGAATCCTGTTCCCAAAATTAAATATTTTATCGTTTCCCTCTCTCTTCATATTAAATAGCATGATTTGATGGAGCTAACAGCCCTATGATTTTAGCATTAAAACTATATTATAATATTGCCTGTCCATTTATTTAAGCAAAAATTAAAGCTCATTCTAAATAAGAATGTTTTTTATTCTATCGGTGAATACTTTGATTGTAGTAATGCCGATCTCTCAGTGTGATATACTTTGTGTGTGTTTTTTTTTCTTGTGTTGATGTATTTCTTTTTACTTGTTGACATTATCCGATGCGTTTGTTAAAAGTCAATGGAAATAAACATTATCATCATCGTTATCATTATCAGAATGAGGTATACCTCTAGGCGCCCTGGTATCAGGCAAGGTCAGCCAGAGTGGGAAGACGATTGGAGCCAATAGGAGGTAGGTGATCCTTTTTCTGGTACCTGACGGCCAGCTCATGTCCATGGCCTCGGTTTGGGTGTCCTCTTCGATATCACCGACCTGCAGACACACCACCGCTTGTGAGCTCAACGACTTACGTGAAGTTCGCGCGCGCACAGCAGACATACGCCTCTAGAATCAAAAACAACATAGTCGGCTAAACCTCAACCGATTTGAGGCAACAATATAAAAGTTCCTTCATTAAAATCGAGTCCCCACTATCCCCATTACATTTGTTCTCAAAAATGGTGTATGGGGTGGCCCGTCGAAACCTACGAGGGTTACAAAAAAAATTTAAATCCAAGAGATGTTTCGTCACTTTTATATATACAGGGTGGTAAAACAAACTTACATTTTTTTAAAAATAAAACACCCTATATTCTATTGCATTTTTTGATAGTCCTTTCAAAGACAAATTCAACGATATGTATGTGTATAGGTATGTGATGAACCGTTTCGAACTTATTAGCGATCGTCTTCAGAATTCTGGTTATGTTTAACCCATCATTGTTGGGTTGCTTATTAACGTTTTAAACTTTTTTTCATCTATTGAGCCTACGAAAAGAATGTTTTTCTTTAAGCAATGATCAAATTTATAATGTTTTCCTAAAATACGTGTATATAATTGAATTTTCGAATGGCCACTTTAATAGCAATTTCAATTATGTAGCACAGTACGGGTCTCTGACTTACCGTTTTGGCTTAATTGGAAATTATTTTCCAATAAATTCTTTCACATTTAAAATTTCAGAATCTTGTAGATAAGGTCCTTAAATGTAAAAAAAAACTTTTAAAAAATAGTCATATTGGAAACCCGCCTGTTGAAGGATACAAACACAAAAAAATAATAGTTCTCTGTTGTGATAATATTACTGATTTTTTGACAGGTATATTATAATATGGAGCAAAATTCACACTAGTACAAAAACTACAAGAAACAGATTTTGACTTAACACTCGAATTTTGCAATTTAATGATGGATAAGCATTTTTTAGGTAATATATTTTAAAACATAATTTGAACCAGTAAATCAACATGTAAAAGAATTTAAGTATTATTGCTATTAAAGTGGTTATTCGAAAATCCAATAATATACAGGGCGTTTCATATAAGAAAATTGAGAAAAGTATCATCTTACGAAACGTGGCAACATCGCGTATTTTAAGAAAATATTTTAAATTTGATGATTGTCGAAAGAAAATCATTATTTTGGTAAAAATAATAGAAGAAAAGTTTAAAAAGTTGATAAGCAACCCAACAATGATCGTTTAAACAGAACCCGAATTCTGAAGATCGTCGCTATTAAGTTCGAAACGATGCAACACAAACCTATATATATATATATATATATATATATATATATATATATATATATATATATATATATATATATATATATATATATATATATATATATATATATATATATATATATATATATATATATATATATATATATATATATATATATATATATTTATATATACATACATGAAAAGACTATCCAAAAATGCAATAAAATATAGGGTGTTCTATTTGTTTTGCCAACCTATATATAAAAACGTGACGATTAGGAAAATAAAAAAATAAAGGTCATTTTAATAGAAACAACTTTTTTTTTTGTAACTCCGATATTTCGATTATCCCCCTCTTAAACGGCCCACCCTGTACATGATTTTGGCATTCACCTGCAGAGTTGTTGCATGTGTGTATCATCTTCTGAACAAAAACTCGCTCTTGCTAAATGGACGCCCTGTATATTTTGAGATGAAAGTCCGATTTAATTGGATTTGAAAAATATACAATTGTGATCACTTTAGTGCTCAGCATGAGGGATTTTTTTACTTATTCCACAACTATAATAGCAATGTTTACAAAAGTTGGTAGGACGAATAACACAAAAATAAGAAAAACAACTTTTCTTTATAACATTTCACTCAATTTTTTGAAATGAGTGTAGTTTACCCTTGTGTATATTTTGTATTTTAGATGCATCTAATATGATTATAAAACATGCCCCAACTTTTGACAATATTGGTATTTTAGCTGTACAGTAGGTAAAAAAATTTTGGTTGGTTGGTTCGGCAATTTTTGAAATATTTTTTTCGATGATACCCTATTAATAGTGCAAATGTCTTTCATCCTGATTAAAAATATATATATTCTATAAAGAAAAGTAAAACCGTTAATTTTATTTGTCTTTAATTGTTTTTGATTTGTTCAAAAGAATATTAAGAAAAATAAACTTTTATAAAAAAAGTTTTTTAATAAACTCTGTAAGTGCTTGTCAAAATTAAATAAAAAATAACGTACATTCTGCGATAAGTCATCAAAGTCAAATAATATATTTATCAATTTTAATTTATGAAATTTACGAATAATCCTATTATAATTTTGCATTTAATTATGAATTATAAACGGCCTTTTAAAACTTTTTATTTTAATTTTTAAACCAGGTACAAGCAACCAAAACGATTGCTAGAATTGTATTATTTTATTATTAAAAATTAATCTTGTCCATGTATTTTTGAGAACTTAAGAAAAAAAAATTAACCTAAATTTTATTCAAAAAAATAACCAGGATGGTTATGAATTAAACTTTAAAATCATTTTTGATAGTTTCTTTGAAATGATATTATTAAAAAAAATTATCTAAAGAAAAAGAAACAGCATGCCTGTTAGAGACAATCGACATGATCAAAAGCTTCGCACAAATTTAGTCCCAGACCCTCGAACTTATTTGCGAACGACCTTGATCCGAACTTAATCCGACATTGGGGTCGAGATAAGTTTTGAGTAGTTATCAAACTGCTTGGGAAAAATTGACATACGTCAGACTCACATGGTTGTAGGGCAAAATATATATTCGGTACGTATAGGATTTGATGCGAGTGAAATTCGCTCAAATGTGTTGAATTTAACTGACGTAATTCTTCTTCTTCTATATTAAGGCACTTCTGCTTGTTTTTTTATCACAAGTTGTCGTTTCGTACCTGTTTCATGTTTTTATTTCATTTGTTTCCAGACATTTCTGAGTCTTAGATGTTTTCGGTCTTGTTTCAGCGGTATATATCATGACTGGTCGAACTACAGCGGCATTTTATTCTTAAGTATTTATTCTTATCTCTGCTATTCTATTGCCTTTTGCAGTTTGTTCTCTTATATCATCATCTATGTTATTATCATACGATAATTTAATTCCTACATATTTGATATTCATTACCTACTCTATAGCATGGTTATCAAGTTCTTCACACATTGCTAGTGATCTAGTTTTTTTGGCCGACATTTTCATGGTTAATTTCTTTGAATTTATATTAAACTGATCTGCAAATCATCTTCATTTTCAGCTACCAGTACAGTATCATCGGCGTAACACTTGTATTTCTTTATTACCCTTATTTTGTTTATACTTTCCTCATTATTTCGTCAAGTATAATGTTAAATAATAAGGGGCTTAGTGAGTCTCCTTGCCTAATATCTGCAGTTACATATATTTTATTTCTGTTGTATATATTTTCGGTTAATTTTATTATATGGGATATTTCTAGCTGCACTCTATCAAATGCTTTTTCTAAGTCTATGAAGCGTAAGAACACTGGCCTATTGTAGCCAATAGATTTTTCATAAATTGAACTGAGGTGACTTTTACTTGATGAAAATCCATTTATCAAAATAAATAAGCATTAAAAGTTCAGATTTTCAAGAAATTATATATTTTGACATGCCAATTGTTTGGACAACACCGTGTGTTTATCAAATGTAATATTTACAAACTACCTGCTACTATATACACAGAAAAATGACCATAAAACCTTAATTAATGTTGTGAGAATTTAAGTTCAATAAAGGAGAGGTAATGATTGATCATTAAGCAATACATTTGAATGTCTCATTTTGTTAATCTCCATAATGGAGTCTGTGTATTTAAAGAGTGAAATGTAGGCATTTTGTATGTATAAGGGTGATTTGAGCTGTTATGTATCACTGTGTCCGTGTGTGAAGGTTTATGATAAATTGAAAAATCTAATTTGTTTTGCCCTTTCGTAATAGTCATAGCTAAAAAATTAATAGAGTTATCCTTTTCAATCTCGATAGTGAATTTTATACGATTATGTTATGAGAAAATGAAATTTAAAAAAGAATCCAATTGTCTGTCCGTTCCAACAAAGCAAGCAAAGACATCATCCACCATAGAAAACTTTTATTTAAAAGATGTTCTAGTATGATATTTTCCAAATTGTCCATAAAAATATCGGCTAACAAAGGATTAAGTGGGTTTCCCATAATCAAACCTTCTTTAGAGATATAAATCTGTCCATTAAATTCAAAATAATTTTGGTCTAAAGATAATAAATCTTGTTTCACCAATGGGTTGACCTGTTTCCGAGTTAGGGTGAAATCTACTAAATCTACTGGGAAACACTGGGAAATAAGTTTTGTACATCAAAAGGCGATAGTGTTGCGTTAGAAGCGATTTTGATATCTTTAATTCTGTTGATTAATTCCAAAGAATTTTTTATTGCAAATTTTGGTTCAAAATCTAAGTTTGTTACATTTGATAAAGACACGGTGTTGTCGAAACAATTGTCACGTAAAAATATGTAATTTCGTGGAAATCTGAACTTTTAGTTCTTATTTATTTTAATCGATATTTCTGCAATTGTTGTCAGTTTCAAAGTCGTGCATAGGAGGTGAATTCCTTAAATGTGGGATCATTATGCTTATCCCCCGGTCTTCCGGTAATTTTGATCTTCGTATTTGTTTATAAACGCTGTTAGTTCTCCGCACTTCAATAATGCCAGCCGATCTTCGGTTTTTTGATTTCTTAAGTGCTTCTTCCACTTCTTCACCATTTATTTCTAGTATTTCATTTGTTACTAAATACGGGGTTTCTGGTGTTAAATTCCCCGTCCTATTGTACAATTCTTCTAAGTGGTCCGTGTCTCTTTACCTTTATCAATTCTTTCATTTCTTGGCGCCGTCCACGTACCGTTCTTCAGATATGCAAACCATAAAAGTCAACGAAATATTTGAGATAGGCTCTTGTTTTCTGTTTTTGCACTTTTTATTCTTTTTGATGTTCTGTGGGTTTTACGCTCCCTAAGCGCTTTTTTTGCTGCGTTTTTGAT